GCCTGCGCCCGCCGCCGCCGCCGCTCCGGGAAGATGAATCCGGTCTGCACATCAGCACATCTGAATTGAAAGGGGAGACCGAGGAAGGGGGTGGGGGGCAGGCATTTCTACGCCGGGAGACCTTAAAAGCCTGCAGAAGCCAGCGAAGCAACTGACTGAAAGGAGAGGGGAAAAAAGTGTGAGGATTTGGGGATGCACTGTTTGCCTCCCCTCTACCCCCCAGGCTGTCTTTTTACCCTCTTCCTAACTTGAAAAAAAAAAAATCTTCGCAACATCTAACCCAATCACTTGCATCCTGCTTACTTATTCATACAATCAGGGTCAGGATCCGGGCCACAGCCTCCTCTCTGACTTCTTTTGATAGCCTTATACAAACAAACAGACACGAGCGCGCTGGCAATTCCATTTATATTTTACTAAAGAGAAAAATTAATATGTAGCTAAGTCCACGAACAGCAATTAATAGGTGACGTACGTGCCTGTTGAGAGTTCCAGACCAGGGGTGGCGCGAGGGATCGTGATAACTTAAGCTGCAAATCTCTTATTTCCCCTCCCCCCCAAATAAACAGGGAGTGTATGTTTCCTTTGCTGTGAAATCTTAGTGCAGCTGAGAAATGGAGAAGTGAACCTTCGCGGTTTAGGTAAGGACCTGAGCTACTGCAAAAAAAAAAAAAAAAAAAAAAAAGTGTGCTAACCAACAAAGTTTTGCTGAGAACCAAGATCCTCAGAACGGCAATATAAAGAAATCCAAAATCGAGTTACAGATTGCAGCAGGAAACGCTAAAACCTTGCTGATGGGCTGGCGCTCCGGCTCACGTGGGCTCAGGAAGGGAATTGGATGGGATACTAGGGAAGCAAATTTTCAGTGACAGTTCTGGCGCCCATGCTAGGAGTTGCTCAGTATCCTTTGACGACGGTTGTTTTACTTCTTCAGAGGAGACTGTGTAAAACCTGGCAGCAGGATCAGCGAGGTAAACCGCATGTCAGCTGAGCAGACTCAAGACAAACACTGGTTGTGGGAAATTGGGAAGGAAAAAAAAAATCGGAGGAACGCTGCAAAACCCCTGTTGTGAGCACACATCTGCAAGTAGTTTCCAAACTAGGTGAGGTGACTTCTCCCCTGAGCTTCCAAGGGACTAGGGTTGAGAGCTTTTTTATTTTTTCCCCCTAAATAAATCTGTTAACTGTCACTTAAGCAGGGACTTGTTAAAAAGGTTGCATTATCTTTACATCTTTATCTGACAAATGTGCTTCCTTTCCAAGTAGCCATCAAAATGCGGAATCTTACCTAGAGAGAGGAATAGGAAGGTCAACACAGGCACGCCCCTTTGATAGAGCCATTGGTTTGGAGATTTGACCAAGGTTTATGTTTGTTAAAGTAAAAGACTAACTTGAAGAAGTATCAACTATTTTCAACCTAAACTAAAAGTACAGAAGGACTAGGGGGAACAGAACTGATGGCATGTTCTTTGCAAAAGCAGGGCTTTCCCAGAGGCAACTCCGTGATGGACCTCCCCTCTGTAGATGTTAAACTTTTAACCCCCAGGGTACAGAATATACACCATCTCTTTAAAAGTTCAATAAGCAGGTAGAGGCATCTGGTTTTGAAATCTCTTGCTGAGTCATTCTCAGATTCTTTTGCCCATCCAAAGGAAAAAGAGACAATGTTTGCATAATTAATAATAGTGTTGCTCTAGTGCAGGACTAAACAAGAATGTATCCTTTCTATCCCATCTGAAACCCTAGAAAATGCACCTCTGGAGCTGCTGGCACTGTCCCCATTCTGTACCCTAGACCTTAGGAGTGTCCCTCGCCAATCTAAATGATTGCAAACATCTCCTTAGACTATTTTATATGTAAATTCTCAAGAGTTTGTATCTGGAATTTTGCTAAATGTCACTCATGATGTTTTGTTTATTCTGGAAAAACAAATGGTACCATATACAGATATCTACTGCATAAATGATTCCTATTACATTTTCCTTACAGAGTTATCATTGCTTAGTTTTAGTTTTATACATTTGTAATTCACAGAGTTAGAATGACTAACATAGAAAATGAAATGTTTCTCGTTAGCTAAAGTACTTGCAGAGAATTCTTATTTATATCACAATATCTTAGGCTCAATCTCTGGTTCTTTTTTTTTTTTTTTGGAGAGTTTTTTTTTGCTCTAGGGTGCGGGTGCATGTGCTCACCAGAGAAACAGAGAGAAAGCGATAAATCACTCAGGGGAGATGGCCACACCACAATCCCTTCTCCTTCATTCTCCTCTCAGGATTTTGGCCACACAGGTGCACACATCCCATGTGAGTTTCAAGCCTCTGGGTCCAGGACTCGAACCACACTCAGCCATGCGAGACTCCAGCGATGTAACTCTATTATGCCATCTGCTGGTCCCCTGTGATTCATTTTTAAATATTGTTTTAAAATATGAAATCTAACTCTAAATTTATAATAGGAAAATATTTTTAAACATCATTTATTTCTGTGGCTATGATTACAAACAACATAGATTCTGCCCTATTTATGAAAACGCATAAATTTGAAAAACTATGCACATGAGGAGGTAGCTGTGTTGTCAGAGTGTAGCAACAGAAAAGTACAGTGTGAGAAGTCAGTCTCTTTGGGAAAAGGAAAAGTGAAAATTGTTTCCCTCCATTCCTCTTTAGCTGAAAAGAACCCTTAACCAGCATTGCCACCTACAACGGCTGATGGGCGTCAACTCCAATAATATTAAGGAATAGCCACCCAAGACAGTCTGAGCAAGAGGCAAACTCTATGTCATTCAGTATATACTGTTTGCTATCATAAGCCATTAATATGAATATGCAGTGTAGATAATATCTGTTAGAAATGCCTGTTTTCAGGTCCAGTACGTGGCATGGAGATGAAGCTGCTGGTTCTCACAGGACCAACTCCATGGTTAGAGTCCCAGACCTGACAGTTGGAAAATCATGTCAGGCACATGTGTGTGAATACCCAAAATCCTAAGAGAAGAATGGAGAAGAGATTATGGCACGTCCATCCTCTCTGGGGAATGATTTCTCATTTTCTGTCTCTCTATCTCTGTCTCTCTATGGTGAGTGCACACACCCTACAAAAAAACTAAAAACTGTAAAAAAAAAAAAAAGTTTTCAAATCTAGTCAATTTGTGAGAAACTAGTTTTTTGTTATGAAACCAGGTAGTGCATGAATATATATTCCCCTTAAGTTTCTCATAAGAAATAGTATTTCCGATGTGTATAGAATAAAATGTGTTTTTATCTTCCCACTGGTCTCACCTACTATACTGAACTAAAAACCTGTTAACCCAATAGTGTGTATATAAATTAATTCCTATGAAATGTCTGATATGTAGATCAAAACCAGCAAATTTTGGCAGTATCATATTACCTCAAAGCTTTTTTTTTTAATTCCTGCTTTCCAGATGGCGCCCTAACTCAAGCAGGCAAGAACTGTGCAGAGGAAGCTGAATTCTACATGGCCCACTGGCTGGGTGTAGACACATGCCCAGAAACCTGACAGAATGAAAAATCAGAGGAAAAAGGATTGCAGCATGGCCAGACCCAATTGAAAGGTTCTCTCTCTCACTTGCTTTCTCTCTGTCTGTCTGTCTCTCTCTTTTATTCACACACCCTCTGGCATAAAAAATATCCTGGGGCCAGCAGGTGGCATGGTGGTTAAGGCATTGGGCTCAAACATACCCAACCCTGATTCAAGACCTGGACCCGGAGGCCTCTCTCTCTCTCTGGTAAGTGCACATACCCTGTGCACTTTAAAATTTGAAAAATGGTAATAGTGATAAATAAAATTAAATAAATACTTCTTTTTTTAAAAAAAAAAATTCTGCTTTGGGTACCAGCAGTTGACGTAATGGCTATGTTGCTGGACTCCTATGTAGTCTACCGTGGTTCGAGTCCCGGATCCGATGGCTTAAACTCATACTGGGCGCATGTGCGTGCGTGCCCAAGATCCCAAGAGGAGAATGGAGGAGAAGGGATTGCGGCGTGGCCATCCCCCAAGGGGCGTGCTTTCTCACTTTCTATCTCTCTGTCTCTCTCTGTCTTTCTGGCAAGTGCACACGCCCTATAGCATAAACCTCTCAAAAAAATGTTTCACTTTGTGTTAATGTTGTACTTTTAAATGAACCTATAAATATGTCAGTCAAATGCTTTTAAGTGAAAAGGTGATTCTCTGAGTCTCAATGGACTGTGACTTCTATATTATATTTTCTTTTTAATTTACATTCTATGACTTATTATATCACATTATTTTGTATATCACTATCTCAGGATGCTCCCGACTCTTGAAAATTAGGATGACCCTACACTCGATCAAAATCTGCCTTTATTCCTATGTCCTAAGAAACAAATACAGTGTCAGAGGCAGAATGAAAAAAGGGAGCAGACACCAATATTTGCTTCACTAAAAACATGTGAATAAAGGTTTTTGTTAAGGAAAAGATATAACATCTCCCCAGGGGAAAATAAAAGATCCCTCATTCTGCGAGAGCTTTTGGAACCTGGGCTGAGTAAAGGCCACTCAGCTACAAATCTCCGTTTATTTCTCAGTATTTGTTACCCTACCCTTCTACGCTCTTATGCCCTCACTGATCTTACAGCTTTCAACTACTCTAGACCAGTTAACTCTTCCTCCCATCCTGATGGGACCCTCTCCAGGCTACATAAGATACATAGGCTTTATTTTTCCATCTTTTTAAAGCTATTCTTTCTTTTATCCATGAGCAAGAGAGAAAGAAAGAGACAAAGAGACAGACACTCCCAAAGGGGTCCTTCACATTGCAGTCCACTCCAGCTTCAGCCGTGCCCAGATCCTGGGCACACGTATGCCCCGTG